GCTGGCGGGGCTCCAGGCCACGGGTGATGCGGTCGATCGCCGTGAGCTGGTTCGCCCTAGTCTTTGGATTCTCCGAGAAACCTTGGCACTGCGCCCGCAGCTTGCGGGCGGACCTGAAGGACTCGGACCCGTTGAAATTGCCACCGCACTTGCGGCAGCAATACACGGAATTGACACAGAAAACATCATGCCCCAATTCAGCGAATTCAGCAAGCACAGGTTGGGGTACGTGGGCCGAGCCGCTGGCAGCCGACACCTGCCCCAGCGGCTGAGGAGGGACCGCGGGAACCGAGGAGGCCTCCAAAGGCCGAGACGTGGACCCCAACATCCTATCGGCCGCCTCGATGGCCGCCGTGACCCTAGAATCCGAGACACTAAGCCACGCCTCAGAACTCCGCAAGAAGAAGTCCTCGGCCAGGCTCTGGACAAGGGGCGAGGGAGCACATACACGATCAGCTCCCGAACGAAGAGTCTGGAGGGTACTCGCACACCGAGCGACACGATTGCACCTTCGACACCGATACTCTGACGTCCTCTGGCAGAAGAGCAACTCGTGGTCCTGGGGCCTCTCGAAAACCACACGCTTGGGCACCTGGGCGAGCTCTGGGTCCTGCACCACGACAGGGTCAGCTCCCCACTTCCGAAACCGCACGACCTGGAAGGCCGCCCACGACACATAGTGCAGGACCTGCCTGTGTTGCTTCAGCCCAGCTGCCAGACTGTCAGCCAGTGTCTTTGACACCATATGCGAAGCGCTGCCACACCTCGCGAAGAAATCGGCCCAGGCATTGCCGACGTAGGCCTCCAGCTCGTCTGGCGTGGCCGACCCGATGATGTCCTCCAGCTTCCTGTGAGCTGGAGTCCACTGAAACCGCACTGGTGGCAGACGTGGATCGCGTGCTCTGGCAGCCGAAAAAATATCTCTCCAGACTCGGGCGTGCTTCGCTTTGCCAAACTCGAGCCTCTGGTCCCAGGACGCACCTTCTTCCACGAGCGATTTCAGATCAGAAATGAAAACCTCATGCCCAGGATGCCACTGAAGTCCCATCTTAATGGCATAGCGCTCAGCACGTCCTACTGTCTGCACGTAGTAGGGCAAAGGCCCATATACAGCTCTGGCGGGGAGCCACGTGACGGGGTCCAGCTGGCAGACCGACCACCCGCACCTACGTACTTCAGGAATGCTGGCCGAGAACCCCGAACCGTCAGTATATGACGTGGGCCCCCAAGAGCCCGAGACATCTCCCCATGCAAAAACCTCCTTGGAGACCGTGGTGTAGTGCGGTACAGGAACAGGCTCGGGAACCCCATAGATCAGGTATCTCTGGTCCCAGTCGGTGCACCCCAGCATCTGCCCAGACGCCTGAAGCATGTCACGAACCTCCTGAAGCTGTTCTGGAAACTCATAATACTCCTGGTCGGGGTCCCCTTCGAGGAGCGGCGGGCAGTCGTAAAAGATATGACCCCAACAGGAGTCGATAGCCTTGCCGCAGGCCTGACATGGCCTAATGGGCCTCCCGTGCTTCATGTCCCGACGTGGTGGGATGGGAAGGTTGTCAGCCCACAAAGCCTGCAGCGCTCCGAGGCGCCTGTGACACTTTATCTTGGCGAGCGCGTGGCGAAGCGCACGATGCCACACCTCCGCCTGCTCGGTGTAAAAATGCTGCTGCAACCTATGGTGCTGCCATCGCTGAATGCCTTGATGCAGGAATACTCGTAGGTCTGCTGGACATATACGATATAAATCAAAACTGTTTCCCAAATCGTCGACCAGGATGTGCTCTGACGACATGGTCCAGGATATGCACCTCAAAGTAAGCCAAGTGGCCCCGAGGGGCCCACGCGCCTTGGCCCAGGAAGGTGAACTGTCGAACTTAGCACCCAGACGCACCCAAGCCTCCCGAAGTCTGCTAGGTTGCACACGTCCGTCCCAGATCCAGGAGGCGTATTTGAGCACAATATCCGTGGTGGCGTTATATATGGGGTCATAACACTCATCCCGATGAGATATGAGATACGCTGTTACCCCAACCATCGTCTTACCTGGAGCACCATTTAGGACTGCAGCACAATGTCGCAACTCGCGAAGAGCGCTGTCGCTAACTCCAGCAACTGCACCGCCATGCGCCACTGATGGAAGGGCGCCCGTGCGCCACAGGCTGGTAGCACTCCGCCCCACGGCGGACTTCAACATGCGAAAACGATGCTTGCGCTCTCGAAACTGCACCAACCTACGCTTCTCCATATGCCGAAGAACTCGAGGTCCTGTGAGCTCGTGTCCCAGATTCCTCATGTGGGCCCTGTACGGGATCTTCAAGGTTCCCAGGTGCCTCTTGAGCTGTCCCCAAACTTTTTGGTTCCCAGGGATACATCCAGACTTCGGCGGCTTCAGGACCATCCCAAGATCTCCAGCATCCGACGTAAACGCCTTGGCCGCACGGGCCAGGTTGGACACCTCCCTCAATACAGGCGACACGTACTGCAAACCCACATCGTCCATGAGCGTGCGTGGCGTGATAGAAGGTGCAATGCTGGCCGTGCGCTGGACCGCTCGGTACGTGAGGAGGTAAAGAAGGTACGTGGCGTGCGTGCAGCCCGCAAGAATACCCTGATGGGCCACCAAGGGCCTAGATACAGACCCAAAACACTTGATCCTTCTCGGCTGACGGTAGGAGCCCAGGAGCAACCACAGGAGCCTCAGCGGGTACCCGAGCTCTCTAGCTTCTCGGAGAAGTGCACTGTGACTGACCATATCGAAGCACTTGGTCATGTCCAGGAGAATGGTGCATGTGTGCTCACCTAAAAGTTCTCCTATCTCCTGGCTCAGGTTGTGGTCGAAGGCTGAATCGGTCGAAGTCTGCCCAGCCCTTGACCCCCACATATGCTCGCACCTGTGTGTCTCTTGCCACTCCGCCGAAAGCGGCCGACGTAGCTTTCCCCACAACCTGACGAAAGTATTGCTGAGGACGATCAACCTAGTGTCCCCGTCAGGCTTGGGCAGGCGAACAAGCTCGCTGTAGAGCCTGTCCGTGGGCCAGGCCAGCCAACTCTCAAACAGCATGAACATATCGGCCAGGCTCTGCAAGGCCTGGTCGGACAGCACATCGAGCGTGCGTGGCGCGATCCTCGTCTGGCCCGAGGCCGTCTTCAACGGAAAACTCCTGATGGCTCCACGCACCTGCGATGCAGTCAAAGGCGGAAGCAACGGCCACTGAGCGTGATCGACAGGCAGCGGCAAAGAACACGCCCCGTGGTAGGTCCAAACGTCCTTCCACTTGTCGAGCGTGCGGTCAGCCATCTGATATGGCTGGGCGTCGTGGGAGTAGGCAAGCACCTCCTGTCGAGCCCGAACCTTGGAGGACGAATGTGCCCGAGATGCTCCTCCCAGGAAGGCTTCTTTGGCCCACTGCCTCCAGGCCCTCTCTGCCGCTCTTTGTGCCGTTCTCAAATGATGGTCAGCTGCGGCAATGATGGTCTTGGCTACGTCCTCAAAGTCAGCCTCGACCAAGCCGATCAGCCCTCGCCGAAAGAAGCCTGCGAAGGCAGCATCCAAGACACACAGCACATGCTCTGACCGAGCCGCGCGCCTATAAAAGGCAGCCACCTCGTTGAAAGCCACTACGACCTTAGTGTACTGCAGCGGCGTGATGTCACATACGGCAGCACAAAGCTTGAGGCGCTCGATGTACCTCACCAGCCGCTTCTTCTCAGCCACAAGGTGCTGGGCCCATCGCTTCGCCGTGGCCCAGGCCAGCACGGTCGGCTCCTTGTAGGTACGCCTGCGTGGCGGCTGCCATGACAAGTGCTGCCACTTGAACTGCGGCGGCCCCTCGCGTCCGATGTACTGCATGGCCTTAGCACCCACGCAGTCGTAGCGCCCTGCCAGCTCGTAGTCCACCCCTCGCAACACGGAGTCCCAGAGCGAGCTCAGGTCGTCAGTACAGCTGACCCGTTGGAACTCTGTCCGAAGCCTGTGCCACGGGTAGGGATATCTAGCACAGCCAACTGGCGGCACCACCGCAAAGGGACGTGGCTCCACAGGGACACGGCACCACGTGGGGCGATCCTCGCCCATGAGCTGCAGCTCCACAGGAAAATGCGGCGGCGGCACGCCCGTGGAGTCATACTGAACCTCTGGCTTGCCCTTGATGCGAGACGCTAAATTGGCACAGACGACGAAATAGTCTATGGTGCTCTTGCCTTCATCGGTGATGCAGGTGTGCTGGTCGGGCACGTAGTGGACGGCTGCCATGGTCTCGACCCAGTTGCGAACATTGAGCGCATCGATGTCGGAATTCCAGTCGCCACCTAGGATCCAGTCGAGGCCCCGTGAGTTCCATGCCGCAACTCTCTGTGCCAAGGCCCACAGGACTTCAATGTTCTCGCCCGATATGCCAATAGACGTGACGAGATACACACTGGCGACTATGATGCCGCCTGCCACTCCCCAGTTAATCTGTGCACAGACTGCTCGTCCTGGGTAAATAATATGCCCATCATCAGGTGGGGCTGTGACCATGATGTATGTCGGCACAAGTACAGCGACCCCTCCATAGTTGGACGTAGCTGAGTCCCCCGTAGAGGGCGAAGGGGCCCATAGCCCATGCCATCCAGCATCCAAGGCCCTGGCCTGAAACTCGCCAAGCCTGGAGTCGGTAATCCTCAACTCTTGTGCCAGCAAGATAGTACCACGATAGGTAGCCAAAAAGTCAAAAAGGGGGCCGTAGCTCGTAGCATTCACCGTTGTGATGAGGCCCTTGAGCTGCGGCTGGGATACTGCATGCGCTGGCTGCACCTTCGCCTCCGTGCTCCCTGGCGGCGAAGGCGAGGTAGGTGCAGCGCGTTCTTGACTTGATTTTTCGAAGCGTAATCGGGAAGAAGGTGGGGACGAAGATGGCGCTTCATGAAATGCGCCTTCACACAGATCTGCTTCCCTGTCAGGCTCAACGTCCTCAAAGAAGTCATGATCGCCATCCAAAGTAGTGCGCGCTGGGCCGCTCTGGCCCGGCGGGGCCCCTGGCAGTCGGTTCCCTCTGCCGCCTGGATTCTCCGAGGGCAAGGGCGGTGAGCAGTGCGTGCCGCCCGAGGACGGTCGGTGCCCTCTGCCGCCAATCCCCGAAGATGAGGTCGGTGAGCAGTGCGTGCTGCCAGGGGCCAGCCGCGTAGGCGTAGACGGAGTAGCCCTCTGTGATGCCGTAGTCGCCCTGGACGGAGCTGCAGGCTCAACCGAAGTAGGCGAGGCCACCGTCAGGGTCGGAGCTGCCCCCCACCCCGAGGAGCGGGCCAGTGGGGGGGATAATGCAGGCGCCGTAGTGCCAGGCGAGGTCATGGAACTGGACGCCGATGTGGGCAGGGGGGTGTGACTATGAGGGGCTGAATCCCTCCCCCCCCTGCCCAGAATGCTGGCCGCCGTCGAAGATGACTGAGGCGGACTCTCGACATGTTGCGCTGATGTGGAGCTAACCATGGTGACAAAAAGCCAAAGCAACAGCATATCAAGCCGAGCACATTCACGCCGACGTCTTGGCCTTCTTGGCCACAGTGTCCAAGTAGCTCTGCTGAAGGCGCTTGAACTTCTCACGCACGATGTCTGGGGTGTCGCTCTCCTCGACTTGGACCCCTGCTGCACCCAGCGTCTCACGGTACTCCTGCTCGGACATCTCGATGTCAGGTGGCTCAGCGCAAGACTCATCACCATCCTCATCATCGGGGGCAGGTGCGGGTTCAAGCGGCTTGGCCTGCGGCATATTCTGCAGCTTGCTGACCGTGTTGGCCATAGCTTGCAGCTCCTTGACCATGTCGGCGCCAAGGCCGAGGCCCGATGCAACCTTGCCCAGCTGCTCCACGCTGACCGCGAAGGTGGGCAGCAAGTCCGCCAACGTCGGTGGCTGGGTGCCCTCGGGCGGCTGGACTCGCGACATGGCGGCGCGAGTCTGCTGCTCGAGGCGGAGGACCTCCGCAGCCGCCTCCTGCAACTTGGAGTCCGTGTCGGCCAGGCCTCGGGTGAGCTCGTCAATCTTCCGCTGCTGCTCGTCGCGAGTGGCCTGGGTGGTAGCCTGTCGCGCACGGGCGGAGGACAGTCGCGACGCCAATGACCTGGCCTGATGCTCACTGGGCCTATCTTGAAAGAGCTCAGCATCCAACCTAGCACGCTCCTCACGCCATTTGGCCACAATATCAGCATCAGCAGGGTCAGTAGTGACCCGAAGCAGCTGGTCCAGCATCTTGATACGGCTCCTCTTGACGGTGTCGGCATCCCCAGGCGCGGCAGCCCAAGGAGGGCTCGCACCTGTACCCGTAGCCGTTGGCCCTTGCCCAGGGGGATGCTCTCGGAGCTTGGCAAGCTGCGCCTCGAGCTCCTTGACCTTGGCCGCGAGCGACTGCTGCTTGGCCGAGACGCTGGGCTGCGACGCTGCTTTGTTCTCCTTGAAACAGTTGCTCTTGTGCAGGCCGCACTTCTTGCAGTACACAAGGGTGGAGGCGTTGAACCACGGCTGATTCGTGACGTCATGCCTGCACCACTTGCAATACCATGGCGAAGCGTTCTCCTTGCGTGTCGGGGCCATGGCGGCGTCGACTTCGCAGAGACAAGCGGCGAGAGCCACGGCCCTGAGGGCAGCCTGGCCGTGGCGACAAAACTGATGAGGGAGCCCAACCCCTCGGTGAGGGCGAGGAGGCAGGAGGGGAAGGGGGAGGAGGAGGAGGAGGAGGAGGAGGAGGAGGAGGAGGAAGAGGAGGAGGAGGAGGAGGAGGATGAGGAGGAGGAGGAGAAGGGGGAGGAGGGGGAGGAGGAGGAGGGGAGGAGGAGGAGGAGAGGAGGAGGAGGAGGAGGAGGAGGAGGAGGAGGAGGAGAGGAGGATGAGAGGAGGAGGGAGAGGGAGGATGGGGAGGGGGGGAGGGGGAGGACGCGGGAGGAGAAGGGGGAGGAGGAGGAGGAGGAGGGGAGGGGGATGGGGAGGAGGAGAAGGAGGAGGAGGAGGAGGAGGGGAGGAGGAGGAGGAGGTGGTGGAGGTGCAGCAGGTGGAGGAGGAGGAGGAGGAAAAGGCGAGCAGGACGAGGAGGAGGAGGAGGAGGAGGAGGAGGAGGAGGAGGGGGGGGAGGAGGAGGAGGAGGAGGAGGAGGACGAGGAGGAAGAGGAGCAGGAGGAGGAAGAAGATGCTGAGGAGGAGGAGGGAGGAGGGAGAAGGGAGGAGGGATGATGGAGAAGGGATGCTGGAGGAAGAGGAAGGGGGGGAGGAGGAGGAGGAGGAGGAGGCGGCGGCGGCGGCGGCGGAACGGTGAAGGGCCGAGCGTTCGAGTCTCAAACTACCCAGACATCCGATTGACTTCGGAATCTGGCGACCAACCGTGCGCTTTACAGCGAGAAAGCGGCCCCCACGGCGGGAGCCCCGAGGTGAAATCGCTCTACCTCAACTTAAACCCAGAGAAAGCTTCGGAAAAAAAAAAAACTGGGCCACTTCGGGCCATCATCGCGTGAACATCCTGACAAGGTCTTTGAAC